AGTTACCACTCAAATATGATGCTTTATGTTCCTTTATTTCTCAACTCTCAATAGCAGGGTGCGCTTCAATGCGCGTTCATTTCCCTCTCCAACCGAACTAACTCCAAAAAACTCTCTTCAACTTACAACTACTTACACCTACTTAAAAACTACTCATCGGCATCGTGACGACGCGTTACGTAGCTGGTGCGTCGTTACACCTCCCCCTTTCCCCAAAGGGTCGAACGGCCCGATCGATGGTGTTTCAAATTTTGTTAGCATCGCGCCATATGTGTAGCAGCTGGGCGGCAGCGCTGCCACCCCTCGCGTTTGACCACCTGTCGACGCCACCTGTAACTTCACAGTCAGCTGCTCGCGCTGTCATTCTGTCGCATCGTTGTCTTCGCTCTCCATTTCCGCCACGTGTTTGAATTTCAAATTCTGGGGTGCGGAATCTGTTGGTGATTGCTGGGCAACGAGCTGTATCCCGCAAAAGTACTGACTATACTTTCCAGCCTGCATGGCCTGCCGCTGATGGACTACCTGTAGCACGCAACGGCTAATTATGTGCCGGCGGCATGCACGGTGTACATCTTATACTGCCAGTGCACCGGGCCTCCCATCGGTGCCGTTGAGGTATCATTTGTGCTATATGTGGCTGAAACGTAATAAAATTCGATTATGTCTGCAGGATTACGTGGACGTTATTCTTTAGCTAGGAGCGCCTGCTTTGGTTGCCCCGACGCTTGACCGCTGGCCTGGCTGTGTTGGCGTCGCCGCCATGGCTGCCGCTGCCTCCACTGCCGCTGCCGCCATGGCTGCCGCTGTTGTCGTCACCTGTTGCCGCGGCTGCCGGCGTCGCCACTACTGCCTTCATCAACGTAGCCGCCGCCGCTGCTGCATTGGTGCCGCTGCTATTGAAGTCACTACTGCTGCCGTTGCTGCGGCCGCTACTATCGTGTCGCTGCCGCTTACGCTGTTGCGGCTGTTGTGATGGCTGCTGTTGTGACTGTTGAGAGATTGTTAGTGGCATGGTCCCCAACTGCCGCTGTCGCTGCTCTCGTCGGCGACGCTGACGTCTGCATTCAGCGCCTTCAGATCTCGAACATGTGCTCTGCCGCCCGCTACTGGTCGTAAGCGCACTATGACTGGGGATATAAATGCACGCACTGTGAATGGCCCATCAAAGCAAGGCGCCAGCTTGGCCGCAAACTGCTCTGCGGCGTTGGACAGGTGATGCTGTCGCACGAGAACCTCGTCGCCTAGTTGGGGTCGCCACTCGCGCCTCTGCAGATTATACTGACGCGCCTGATCCTCACTGGCCACCACTTGGTTTCTTTTTGCTATTCGGGCAATGAACTGTACCAGTGTCGCGTGTGTTTGTGGGGTACCTGGTACTGCCTCAGGGGCGTCTGGATCCCTGCCGTACAGTGTGCGTGGATGCCTTGGTTCTCTCCCAAATAGGATGAAAGCCGGTGAATAGCCCGTTGCGTCTGAAAGTGCTGTATTAATAGCCAATTGTGCTTCCGGCAGTTGTTCGTCCCACGTGTTGTGCTGCCCATCCGCCAGCTGAGCAATCAATGTTTTGACCGTTCTATTGGTCCGCTCCGTGGGATTCTCCTGAGGTGTATATGGTGCCGTCAGTTGTTGCTGTATGCCTGCCTCAGCGAGGAACTGTTTTAGCGCGCGACTTGTAAACTGGGCTCCATTGTCTGTGATGAGTTTTCGCGGCGTCCCAAACCGCGCCAGGATCCGCTCTCGTAGGGCCAGCTTCACTGCCGCCGCTGTTGCCTTGCGGATGGGGACCAGTTCTGCCCACTTGCGGCAGCGGCCCTACGAAATCGGCGCATACGACGTCCCACGCTGCCTCCGCTGGTTTCAAATGCATCTTGCCTGCTGTCAGCTGTTGCTGGGCTTTATAGCGTTGGCACAGCAGGCACTGGTGCACATACTTCGCAACGTCGCGATACAGACCAGGCCAGTGGTATCGGTCTGCGACGCGCGCACATGTTCGGCGTACTCCCATATGGCCCGCCGTTGCGTCATCGTGGCATTCTCTCAACACCTCCTGTCGTAAAGGCGCGGCCACGCATAGCCTCCATGGTGACACCTCATCTTCTCCCAGCACATTGGCGATGCGGCGCTACAGCCTGTCGTTCTGTATCGCGTAATCGGGGTATTTGCCGGGGCTCTCCAACACCGCTGCCGTCAGCAGCTGTAGCCATTAACAAGTTGACGCTGCCTCTGGCTCCACGTGTGCGCGGCCGGCCACCTCGCGCGGCTGCCGTGACAGCGCGTCGGCCACCACGTTCAAGGCTCCCTTTCGGTACTGGACATCGAATGTATACTGTTTCAGCTCCAAGGCCCAGCGTGCAATGCGACCAGTGGGACTCTCGATTGAGTTAAGCCATCGCAACGCCAAGTGGTCGGTCACGACGGTAAAGTGATAGCCCTCCAGATAGTGTCGCAGCTTTCGGATTCCCCAAACAATGGCCAGGCACTCCTTCTCCGTGGCGCTGTAGTTGACCTCTGCTTTCTGCAGTTTCCTACTGGCGTAGGAAATCACGTGCTCCTGGCCGTCTACGTTCTGTGTCAAAACCGCGCCCAGCCCATACTCGCTGGCGTCAGTCTGTAGGCAGAAGCGTTGTGTGAAATCGGGGCACGCTAACACCGGCGCTTCCATGAGCTGTCTTTGGATACAATCAAATGCCTCCTGCTGCGGTGTTCCCCAACTCCACTTGTGGCCTTTCTTTAACAGCTCGGTGAGTGGGCCTACCGTTGTGGCGAAATTGGGTACAAAGCGGCGGTACCACGAGGCCATCCCGATGTACTGCCGCAGCTGTTTTAGGTTGGCCGGGGGCTTCAGTTCACGTATGGCTGCCACCTTTTCTGGATCCGTCTGTATCCCGTCTTCTGTCACCAGGTGCCCCAGGTAGCATATGGACCTGCGAAAAAACTCACACTTATCTTGATTTACCCGTACGTTTGCCGCTCTCAGTCTTCGAAACACCTCCCTCAGGTTACATAGGTGTTCTTCGAATGTCTTCCCAACCACAACTATGTCGTCCAGATAGGCAAACGCGTGTGGAGCCATATCCGGGCCGATGACGCTATCTAGTGCCCGCTGGAAGGTGGCTGGGGCGGAGTGCAGGCCAAATGGCATCACTCGCCATTGGAAAAGGCCCCGTCCGGGCACTGTGAAGGCGGTGTATTTGCGGCTGTCGGGCTCCATGGAGATCTGCCAATAACCGTTTCGCAAGTCGATGCTGCTGATGTACTTTGCCTGTCGTAACTGTTCGAGAATATGTTGGATCCTCGGAATGGGGTATGCGTCTGGCTCCGAGCGCTCGTTCAGCTGGCGGTAGTCGATGCACATTCGCCACGCCCCATTCTTCTTGCGTACCAGGACTATGGGCGCGCTGTACGCGCTATCTGACCGCTCAATGCAGCCCTTCGCCAGCAACTCGTCAACCTCGTTGTCAATCACCGCTTGCATCGCCGGATTCCTCGGATAGTAGCGCTGTTTAATGGGCCTGTCGTCTTTCACGCGGATCGTGTGTGTCGCCACCGACGATACGCCCACAATGTTCTCAAAGCGTGGTAATTCCTCCTGAAGGAACGTGGCAGCCTGAGCAGCCTGTTCATCTGTCAGCGTAGCCGCCGATGGAGCAATTGGCTCTGTGGTCACCAATGCCGCACATCGTACTCTGCGGCGCGCCTGACGCCTTCTCCGCCGTCGTCGCTCACGCACATCTCGCATCTCCAGCTTGTGGCTGCCGGCGGTGAGGGTACCATAGGCCTTGCTGATGAAATCCAGCCCTAGTGAGAGCTCGTCCTCGCAGCCCGGCAGTGTCAACAGTGGTATCGAGATGCATTTGTCGTCCACTGTTATCGCCGTCATCGTCTCCTCGCAAACAGTTTGTCGCGAGCCGTTGGCCATCGACATCGACACCTCTACACTCCGTACATTCTCCCCACCTGGCTTTCTCAAGCGTCGTGCCAGCGCCGGGCTCACGAAGCTGCGAGTGGCTCCCGTGTCCACCACCGCGTCGAGGACAAGACCACCGCAATCCACCCTCAACACCATCACTCGCGAGCGTTCTGCCACTAGTTTTCCTGCGTGGGCTCGCCTATTGGCTGTATGTGGCGAGCCCCCCTGGCGTTTCCCGCTCTGCGGCGACAGCATTCGTTCGCTCGTATGCCCAGCCTACCGCAATCCCAGCAGTATAGTTGTTGCTGGTTTGGGCAGCATTCGTTGTCGTGCCCCGCCATACCACAGCGTTTGCAAGACCGCCCCTGGTGTACCCACGAGCTCTGCATCTCGGGCCCGGTTGCTGTTGTTCGCGCGGGTGTAGTCTGTAAAGGGACAAAGTCTCGCCTGTTTAACTCACCACCAGATATGGGCTTCGTATCCGTTGGCTCCGGACGTCGGATCGGAAACCCCCGTGGGCCCATGAACGCTGGCTGGGATGGCCCTGCCCCAATGGTACAGGCAGGAACCAGGCCCAACTCCTCCAGGTCTGCTGCTTGCCGTTTGAATTCTGCCACAGTATGGACATCCTGATGCCGTATCCTGATATTGATCGCTAGTCGGCTGTTGCGGTAGATGAGCCTCAGCTGCTCCTCTCTGGGCATGTCTGCATCGAGCATCAATTCCAGCATCGCTTGGACGTAGGTCGCAGTGGACTCCGACTCGCCCTGAAAGCGTCGTTGCGCATTCTGTCGCCACCGCTCAATGTGAGGAGCGGCCGGGTACGCTTCTAGCAGTTCCGCGCGGAACTCTGCCCACGACTGGGTCGGGTTTCGCCTTGTGCGGTCCCACGTCAGTACCGCGCCCTCCAGAATGTTTGGTAACATCGGCACCAAATTATCTACCGGCTCCACACTCACTTCCGCTTTTTCTTCTAGCCTGCGCAAGAATGCTCGTGGGTCCCCGCTGCCGTCGAAATGCACTCCCCACTGTGCCACCTCCGTACTCAGGGCTCTCCGCTCCGCTCGTGACATTGTCGAGTGGGCCGAACCAGCCGCGGATGCGGTTGACACGGCCGGCCCGGCCGTCGAGACCATCGACGGTGTGGCGAGGGTCGTCACCACCGTCGTGGCAACGATCTGGTTCGTGGTCACGCATGGCGCCGCTGGCGCTTCTGTCGTATAGGTGGTGGTGGCGGTCACGGTCACTGGTGCAGCCCCAGCTGGTGCTGTTGCCGCTAATGGCCCCGTTGATGGTGTCTTGGGATGCTCGGTCGGTGTTCTTGGCGATGCCGCAGCTTCCGTAGGCGGCAGGTGCATGCCGGGCGAACCTTCCTCTCGCTTGGGGACCTCCAGTTGTGCCTTCGGCGGTACAGGACTCACCGGACGTGACTCATAGCGGGCCGCTAGCAGTTCTAGGCGTAACTGGTGTTTCGGCCCCGCCGCTTTCACAAACGTGGCGAAGCGTGTTCTCAGCGTTTCCACGGTGCCCGCGTCGTCGATCCCAAACTCCTGCAGCAGCTCGATCAGCTCCTCCTTCTTCAACGCTCGCACCCAGCTCGTTCGCGTTTTCCAACTAGCCGCGTGGTCGCGGTCGTGTTTAACCTCACTTTATTTTGGGGTCCCTGCTCGGGCGCCACTTGTAACGTTGCTCTGGTCCGGGTATACTCGTCGGCCAGAGTCGCTTCAAAATTCTTTGTTTGGTTCCCCAGAAATAAAGCGAGCCGCAGTTACCACTCAAATATGATGCTTTATGTTCCTTTATTTCTCAACTCTCAATAGCAGGGTGCGCCTTAATGCGCGTTCATTTCCCTCTCCAACCGAAATTACTCCAAAAAACTCTCTTCAACTTACAACTACTTACACCTACTTAAAAACTACTCATCGGCATCGTGACGACGCGTTACGTAGCTGGCAGCTGTGCGTCGTTACAGCACATATAAGGCTGATCTGACACCAGCATACTTAAGCCCACAAAATATGCTTGCCCACCATTATTGTGAAACCGCGAATACATAGAAATGGTAAATATAAATTGTCATAAGCTAGTTTTAGGCATGGCTATATAAGCCATGAATTGTAAGAATAAAGTCAGTATGCAAGTTATCAAAGAACGGACTGTTACTTTGAATCAATACGGGAATTGCTGACGTCAACTACCAGGTTGAACTACATGCTCACAAGGATTGCCAGCCGGTATCTTTGGTCACTGCAAGCACTCACTATCCGGTTCAGGATTCTGGTGCAGCTCGCTATTAAGTACCGACCTAAATCAAACGTCCTGCGTCGTTTTACTCAAGCGCAATCAGGACAACCGGTGTTACTAAAACCTGCTGGACCACGAGGGTCGGCCACCACGTTCAGGGATGTCCTTCTCCGTGACCAGATGCCCGATATATTCGTAGATTGGTCGCTCGCAGTCGTCGGATACCTCACGCAAGTTGTTCAAGTGCTTCTCGAATGTCTTACCCGCCACCACTATAACGTCGACGTACTCAAATGCATGCGGCGGCAACATCACCGACAGGGCCACCGGTGTCGTTGCTGGTATGGTCGATATTGTTGGGCCGGACGTCGGGGCCACCGCCGGTGTAGCAAGGGCCATTGCTATCGTTGTTGCTATCGTCGTTGCTATTGTTGTGGTTGGAACCACCGCTACCACCGCTTCCGAAGTTGCCTTGGGCGTTCCACCAGGAACTGCTAATGACTGTGCCGCTGCCGAAGCCAAGGTCTCCGCTGCCCCCTTGGCGGCGTTGGGCTCAGCTGGCCCGACGACACAGGGCGCAATGGTGCACTTTCGTAATATGCTGCCAGATTTTCCAGGCGAGATCGGTGTTACTCTTCTGCCAGCGTGTCAGAACGGAACGATCCGTTCTCGTCGATGTCGAACTCGCTCAAGAGCTCGCTCAGTTCGTCTGGCCAGGAGCTTTTTTCTGCTTTGAGGCTTGGTCCTTAATGACAATTGTAACTTCTCCTGCTTGGAATACGGTAGGTGTTGTAGATTATTGATTAGTGGGAACACAAAGCTATTTGTTGCTGGATGTGGTTTAATACGTTTTCCAAATGGGTTTGCCTTCTTTTCGTTGCTGCGAGCCCACTTTTCCGTTTGTGTACGTAACGCTGTATCTCGATTGAAAAAAAGGACATACACCTAATTTAGCTTTCCACAGTGGGAATCGTTTGCTGTTAGGGGAGAGTTGCTCCAAATAGTGCATTTGAGATCGGTGTTTCTCATCTTCTAGGACTTTGCGTAGTAGTTGGTTAGCTAGTTTTAACTGATTTTTCGAGTCAGGTGATCTGAGGGCTTGCCACTCTCGCCGAAGCTTTCTCTTATTGCGTAGCAGCTCCTCAATATGCCTGGAAACACGACTGCTTTTTTAACGCTTATAAGCTGTGATTTCTGGAGTGGAATTTTTTGCAAGCAGTGACATTACAGACAGTAATGCTTCAACTGAGGTATCTATGTTATCTTTACAGGTCATTTTTGGGCAGCCATCAATATGGGAGCTTCGTACTTCCGGTATTTAAGCCAATTTTCTTTTCTAGAAGTTAGGAAGTGTAGGCGCTCCGTGTACTGTGTGTCATAAAGGTGAAGAAGGAATGGCAAGTAATCCGATGATAGATCTGTTAAGTGCTCCACATGGATCTGAGCCTGTGGCACTCTTCTTGTAACAGCGAAATCAATCAAGTTTGGTTGCTTCTTTGCAACTTGAGCGCAAGCTCGCACAAGACAAAACTCTCCATGGCATGCAAGGGCGAAGGCAGCTTTTACCAAAGGGGGGACCAAAATATTAAAATTTGATTAAACAATGCACGATGCATTTAAAAAATAACTTATGCTTATGATCAATGAAAAAACTTCAATAAATCCAACTCAGATCCATTTAAAGGCGAAATAGTGCGTCATAATAATGAACGTGTGATCGACTTTATATGGGCCACGGCACCCCCTTCCCCCCATGTATGATGACATCATGAGAGAGTATCGCAATCTTAGGCACATGTCAGCTCTTGAATCTCCTCCTCCGGCAGGACAGCACTACTATATTCCTCATCAGTGTGTCCTGTGGCCTGAAAGCACCATAACCAAATTGCGTGTGGTGTTTGACGCTTCTAGTAAGAAGTCAACGGCTGTATCATTAAATGATACTTTAATGGTTGGGTGCTTTATTCAACACTTGTCAATTTTCGGTTGAATAAATATGCAATTACTGCCGACATCTCCAAGATGTACAGACAAAAAAACGTGTCTGAAAAAGACAGAAATTTCCAGCTCATTCTCTGGCGAGAAAGCGCCTGCAGTCCTTCAAGTTGAACACTGTCACATACAGGACTGCATCAGCGCCATTTTAGCTGTGCGCTCGTTGTTTGAATTGGCCAATATTTATGCTTGATCTCACCCTGTCACTTCAAATGTCATTAAAATTTGCTTTTATGTTGACGACATGCTGACAGGAGCAGATTCTTTAGATGAGCTTAAGGAAATCTGTAATCAAGTACAAGAGGTACTTGATTCAGAAGGGTTCCCTTTGGCAAAGTGGGTATCATATTGTCAGGCCTTGTTCGGTGATGATGGCAACATCACCGAAAAGGCAATTAAGTTTGACAACTCCACCTCAATTCTCTTACAAGAGTTGTGGCGGGGTTAAAGTAGATTGGGATGAAACTATTCCAACGAGTATGCATACTTCGTGGAATAAGTTCACTGAGACGTAATTTGCACAAAATTCACATTCCGCAGGGTTTCGTGTTGTATTGGTTGGAGAGAGACTCATCCACACTGTCCACATTCGTGGCAAATAGAGCAGCTGAAACCCAAGAGGCTTCTGAGATACTGTTTGGCGTCATGTGCCTACGGACTGCAATCCTGCTGACCTAGTTTCTCGTGGAACTGACATAGATGAAATTGTATCATCACTGTGGCTTAATGGTCCTATTTTTCTAAAATTCGGCAAAAGTGATTCGCCTAATCTTCACCATGTTGAATTATCGTCAGACATTAAGGCATCTGAAGATAAAAAGAATGCGACTGTACTTACAGCCATTCGAACATATGTAGAGTAAAATTCCATATTAGACCTTATGTTGAGACGTTCATCCTTTCCTAAACTAGTTCGAATATTGGCATATGTTTTGCGATTTTGAAAAGGTCGCAGTGATCCCCTAGTTGTGTCAACTTCAGAACGAAGATTGTCGTTTTTTAAGCTGATTGAAGTGCTGCAAGCTGATATATACAGCCATGAGATCACGTCCTTACAAATGTTGGGGCCACTCCTCCGAAGTTTGCAGTCTCTTAATCGCTCTATTCACGAGTTCGAAGACACTGGGATTAAGTTTCGTTTGATTCGAGTAGATGGACGTTTGTTGCATGGTCCAATTCCTTATGACGCAAAATTTCCACTATTATTGCCGCATACGAGAAAGACCGCCCGTTAAAAATTACGTCGCCATGTTTGTTTGTTTTGCCTCGAAAGTCGTTCACCTCGAGCTGGTAATAGATCTATCAACTGGTGCCTCTCTTAACGTCTTTAAAAGGTTCATCGGGAGACGCGGCCTGCCAGAGACAGTCTACAGCGAAAACGCGACCAACTTTGAGGGAGCGAGCGGCGTGCTGAAGGAGTTGACGTCTGCGTTCGAGAGGAGCAAAGACGCCTTGATGGACTTAGCGGCAGATCAAGGGATCGATTGGCGGTTCATTTCTCCCAAAGCTTTTCACCCTCAGAGGACTGTGGGGGGCAGCGGTGAAGGCGGCGAAGGCTCGTCTAGTCAGGGGCGCAGGCAACGCGAACCTGACCAGAGATGACCTGGAAACGCACCTGGTGGACGTGGAGGCGATCCTCAACTCCAGGCTTATGGTGGCAGGCGGCAGCAATCCCAACGACGGAGAGATGCTCACTCCGGATCACCTGCTAAGCCTTTTCTTTCTCCGCCGCTTTCTCAGACCCGGTGGGTGAAGATTTTTTAGCCCGTACGGCAAGCTATGCCCCGTCTCACAGCCGTTCTTGGTCAGAGATTCCGGAGATGGCTGAAAAGAGGGGCTGTTATTAAAGAACATAATAATTTAAACACCTACCAAGGAAAAGGGGAAGATAATTTTTTGTCGTTCTGGAAGCAACTTCGAAATTAAGACGACCTAATTGTAATTGGCAAGGCGAGAATCAACAGTACCTGCAGTTAGTTTGTGGAATTGTTTCTGAACAGACTCAATTCGATCCTGAAGCGTTTTGTACTGCGGATACCAAACGCATGAGCAATATTATAGAATAGGCCGTACCAGTGAACTGTAAAGTAGTTTAGTGATAGTAGTTTAGTGGGGTCATCAAATTCTTTGGACCAACGTTTAATGAATTAAAGAAATATGAAGATTGAAGTTCAATTTGGAATCAAACAGAACTCCAAGATCTTCGACAATAGAAATACGTTGCAATAATTCATTGTTAATCGTATAGGTGACAAGATGAGGTCTGGACCGATAAAATGACATAAACTTATATTTGGAGCAGTTAAGGTGTAATTGGTTAACCAAGCACCACCTCTGCATGCAGTTCAAATCATCCTGCAAAGGAGTGTGGAACAGAGGATCGTTATATGATAGCATGAGCTTGACATCATAAGCATACATCAGTATGTGAGAATATGACAGGATAGAAGGAAGGTTGTTTATAAACAAAGTGAATAACAATGGGCCAAGATGACTTAAGGTACTCTCGAAGTAACACGAACAGGTTGACCCGATCTGATTAGTACTCTCTGGGTCCTATTTTTAAGATAAGCCGAAATCCAAAGCAAAAAATTTGAAGGAAGCCCAATACGATCAAGCTTCAACAGGAGTAGGTCGTGATTCACTGAATCGAATGCCTTACTGAAGTCGGTATAAACAACATTAGTTTGCTCTTTAGCTAGGAGTGCATAATTTATCAATGATGTAAATTCCAGAAAATAACCGACTTACACAGATGGTGCAAAGTGGAAGTAATTATTTTTTCAAATAATTTAGGAATGGCGGACAATTTAGCGATATCTCGATAGTTTGAAATGTCTGCCTTCCTTCTTTTTTTGTGGAGCAGAATAATGAAGGAAGCATAGCTAGAGGGTATGAATCACCATTGAAACTAATAGATGAATACGTCGACTGAAAAAACTTAGGAAATTAGTCAATAATAGCCGAATCATTGCTTGTATTTTCATTATGAAGAAAAAAAGAAGAATGCAAAGCTGACGATTTACGTTTGTAGTTCACAAAATTGTAAAAATGCTTAGGGTCTTGAACAAATTTAGCTTTACAGCGATCAAGATACTCAGTGTAACACTGAGAATTGAGAAGAAGAAAGTTCGATGTGGCTATAGAGCATTTTGAAAAGTCCAAACAATATATCCAGTTAGCTTGAACTTTTTAAAATACCTTGATTTCCTATTCTTTAAATTGGAAAGTTGCCAATTAAACCAAGGAGGCTTAATTGAGGAAGACGGTACAACGCTATAGGGAATGCCGACATCGAAGAGGGAGAAAATGATCTCATAGAAAAAAGTAGACGGGATTTCAATGTCAACGGATTCGTATAATCTGTTGAGCTTATTAAAATCGCCTTTCCGAAAACAACGGCGTGTACTTCGAGGGAGAGGCTTTAGTTTCGTAAAGAGAAATCGATTTTAAATAGTAGGGTGATACGGATTTTCGGGAATAGATAGAGACGAAGATCTAGAGATTATAGCATCTGTGCCCTCGTTTACATAAATTAGGTCAAGCAGTCCATAAAGGTTATTAAAATTTGAATTAATTTGAACCAAAGACAA